GCGGGCAGCATGTCGACCCCGATGCTCATCATTGTCTGATTTTCGGCCCTCAAGCACAAAAAAAACAGACATCCTAAGCCCTAGAACCAAAAAACAAACATAAACCCTAAACCCTAAACCCCAAAACCAAAAACCCTGAACCATCACGGCAAAGACTGCAATTGAGCCCCGGTCTGGCAGAGATCGGCTCCTACACCCTGAACCCTGCACAGTTTCTACTTTAAGTTCTTGTAGTTCTGTATAAGGAGCATCCCATGGCTCTATCACGCTTAGGTTCAAGCTGATCCGGGCGGGAGTCTCGAAAAAAATCACGAGCCCATAGTCGCAGAAATAATCTCCTACTGCGGGGGCCGGGGGGGATTGGAAAGGCTTTGGTATGGGCTGGGTAGGCAAGTAGACAAGTTAGACTCGGCAGCACGGTTGTGTACCCACTGACTGCAACATGCTTGAACTGCGAACGATGTCTAAGTAGAAACCTGAACAAACAGCAATGCCATTCCCTAGGGTTTTGTTATAGTACGATACTACAGGCGTTTAAAACGGCTATATCCCGAAATCCACGGCACTTTGAATGCAATTGTACAAGTAGTGGCTAACATCAGGGTCCTCAAAGGGCTTAGACGACGGTTTCAGTTTAGTAGGCCCCATCCAAAAGCCTAAACCGTAGATAACTCCGCTTTGGGGCAAATTCATACGGTGACTTTGTGCACGAACCCTATGAAATCGGTGGTTGTCAAAATTATGGCCCTTTTCGTGGTACCCTAAATACTAGGTGCCGTACTATAATAGGGACCCAAAAAGGGACCATTAAACCCTAAACCCTAAACCCCTAAACCCCTAAAGCCCTAAACCCTAAACCCTAAACCCTAAACCCTAAACTAGGGACCCAAAAAGGGACCATCATTTTGACAACCACCCACAAGGTTAGGGTTTAGGCTTTGGCATCCTTCGGTTCTGGCTTTCGGATTTAGGGTGGGGTCTTGAGCTCCGGGTTTAGGGTTTTAGGGCTTTAAGGGTTTAGGGTTTAGGGCTTTAAGGGTTTAGGGCTTAGGGTTGAAGGGTTTAGGGTTTAGGGTTTTAGGGTTCAGGGTTTAGGGTTTAGGGCTTTAAGGGTTTAGGGTTTAGGGGTTGAAGGGTTTAGGGTTTAGGGGTTGAAGGGTTTAGGGTTTAGGGGTTTAGGGTTTAGGGTTTAGGGCTTTAAGGGTTTAGGGTTTAGGGGTTGAAGGGTTTAGGGTTTAGGGGTTTAGGGTTTAGGGTTTAGGGTTTAGGGTTTTAGGGTTCAGGGTTTAGGCAAATCCAATCGGGCAGACTCCGGTACGAATACGTGAGCAGCATAAAGGGCACTAAAAAACTAGGGCTTGGCACTCAGAACTCATCCATGAGGTTTCGCATGAAAGTAGCAGCATTGGTTCTCTCAATAAGATCAGAGTGAAGTTTGGCAGATGTAGCACAGCGGATGGATTGAAGATCATTTGGCAAAACTAAAGCCTTCTTGGCCGCCATATCAGCAATTCCGGTTCAGGGTTTAGGGTTTAGGGCTTTAGGGGTTTAGGGTTTGGGTTTAGGGTTCAGGGTCTAGGTGGATGTATGGAAATCATCAGAGTGATGCTATAGCATTCGCAGCAAACATACTAAAATGGGAAGGGCATTGATGATGCTCAGACTGAGGCTGGACGACTGTACTGGCAACAGTAGCAAGACTAGAAGTAATAGCAGCAATTAGACATCCTTGATAATCGGCTCATGCCAATAAGAGCAACAGCTCATTAATCACGAGAAGACGCAACATGCACACTCATGTGGGTACTTGTCAAAATTATGGCCCCTTTTTGAGGTACCCTAAGTTACAGGTGCCGTATTGTAATAGGGGCCCCAAAAAGGGACCCTAATTTTGACAACCACCCATGTGTTGCTGCTTTATGAGGTCCCTGTGTTTTCATCTTCCTGGCAGGCTCAAAGCCTCAACTCCAAACCCGACGCCTAACCCTAAACCCTGAAAACCCTAAACCCTAAATCCTAAATCCTAAATCCTACACCCTAAACCCTGTACTGTGAGGCTGCTCCACTGCAAAGGCTGAGGATATCAAGGTTGGGTTAAGGCTGTATGGCATCGGCAGCACCAGTGCCAAGTTTTTCATACACCTCGCAATCACCCACACAAAACATCACCACTATCTCCAAAACCGCATTGCTACCGACGAAACTCCTCCTGCTCAATAGAAAGATAAAACCGACATATCTTGAATAAGGTAGGGGTCATAACAAGTAGAATAGGTTTTTTGGGTGATATTCTACTAGAACTATTACAATTATAAGGAACTCCCAAAACCCTATTCTAAGTATTAAGGCCCCCTACATTAGTTCCTGGAGGCTCTCTTCTCACGGATTTTAGGGCTCTTTTTCTTGGAGGACCAGGGGACCTAGTAAGTTAGGTTATAAGTACCTTAATTGAGGTTATAAGTAGTTATACGTATAGTTTCCTTAATTATAACCCTAGTTACTAAGTCCCATGATCCTCTTAGTAGACCCTGATCCCCAAACCCTATAGATCCCTTTAAGGAACCCCTACAGATCCCTTTAAAGGAGCCCTTTTAAGGAACCCTAAATTACTAAGTCCCATGATCCTTCAAGTATGGGGCCATGTCAAGGATTGGGTCTCAGTCGTTAGAGCTGAGTGAGAACCCTTCTACTTAGAGGATCATGGGACTAAGTAAGGTTCCTCAAAGGGTTCCGTAAAGGGACCTACAAAGGCGACTATAAGCATTTTATATGGGTTTTGGGGGTACTTAGAGGATCATGGGACTGAGTGCAGCATGATGAAGATATCCTGGAGCCCTCTATTCACTGGCTCCATGAAGCAGCACAACCTCTGATCGTCAATCCAATCGCCAGTGATGCTCTTTAGGGCGAAAGGTCAAACTTGACGCAGACGTCTGAATGCTTGGAAATAGAGTATTGCGATCTGTAACATTCCGCAATTTAACACTATCCCACAATATGGGAGTTTCCGAAAATAGGGGACCCTAATACAATACCCTAAATGCAGGATCCGTATTAACGGGGCCCCAAAATAAGGTACCCCTAATTTTCGCAATCTCCCCTACGCCCACTCAAGGCCCCTAACTCTATCCGACGAACACCCTGCCACGCAGCAGGGGTCTTGAGCACGATTTCTCTCCGCGCTGGAGATGATTCAGGTGCTGCTGCTTGAAGGATCATGGGACTTGATAACTAGGGATATAATTATGGTAACTATACTTATAATTACTTATAACCCCGTTAAGGTACTTATAAACTAACTTACTACGTCCCCTGATCTTCCAAGTTCAGGTGCTGCTGGTAGCCAGTGCACCTGGAAGCCCAGGGTCGAAGAAAGATACCTGTGAGTTTCCGAAAACTAGGGGTACCGCTTTTGGGGTCCTTACACTAAGGATCCTACTGTTTAGGGTACTATATTAGGGTCCCCTATTTTCGGAAACCCCCACCTGAAACCATAGCTTTAGGCTGGGAATGTAGCGCTTGGGGCTTAGGTTCGAGCGTCTTGGGGTCTTGGGGTTTTACGGTATGGGGTTCAGGGTCTGAGGATCTTAGGGTTTCAGGGCTGTGCCTACCACATCCTAGACTTTGTGGTAGGATGCAGGGTTGGCTTTATGGTATCGTCAATAAGGCGGGTTGATATCGAATACGGAATTCCGTGGCTTTTGTGGAGCTTGTGATAAGGGCCACAATGGCCTTAACAATTGGAATATGGGGATTTGCGAAAATAGCGGACCCTAGTAAAGTACCCTAAATAGTAGGATCTCTATTATAAGGACCCCAGAATAAGGTACCCCTAATTTTCGGAAACTCCCATATGGCTTGCAGGCCCTAAGATTTCGGACCTCGGGTTTCGGGGTTCTGTAAACTTCAGGGAATACTACCCGATGCCCAGCCGGAAAAGAACAGATGAACACTTCACAACCCAGGTCAGGATCCGTGTTGAAGGGTTCCTTTGAGGGCTGCTTTTAAGGGGTTCTATAAGGGATAGTATGGGATTCATAATGTAGGGGCCTTCATAAGTAGAATGGGGGTTCCTTATTAAAGGGTAACCGTAACCCTGAGCAAAGTTAAGCCCCCCTTTTCGCAAACCCCATCGTTTCAGCAAAGAGATCAAGGATGGCAGCCCGTGAATCATGAACTGCTAGAATAAGCTAAGTCAATATCTCCGAGTCTCTGTCTCACCTCGCTCTCTCTCTCTCTCTCTCTCTCTCTCTCTCTCTCTGTCACCCTGGCCACATTCAACTCAGTGTGTATATGGATGTAAACCTACATGCACGAACACACACACATGTATGAGAACCCTTTAACAACTTTCTAAACCGGAGAGCTCAACTCGCAAACCCCTTACTACGGTTGACGATATCAATCCTGCATTACCGATAACAAGGAATATACTATAATTCCCATAGTCTAAGGTCCTTCAGGTAATGCAGGATATATATCATCAACCGCACTCTTAACCCACTCTGACCCCGAACAAACATTAACGAAGTCCCAAACCACCACAAACACTGCAAAAAACCCTCAAGCCCCCTTGAAGATCGTCTCCAGCACGATCCCTGAACCCTAAACCACTAAATCCCTAAAGCCCCTAAAACCTAAATTAATCCTAAACCCTGCATTAACCCTAAACCCCTAAGACCCCTTAAGCCTTAAAGGGGTGCCTATATGGGTACTTTAAGGCCTAAGTATATATACTTCATATGGGCACCCTCGAAGACCCCCAAACCCTAAACCCCTAAACCCCTGGCCCCTAAACCCTACACCCTAAACCCTTAAACCCTACACCCCCAAACCCCAAACCCCTAAACCCCTGGCCCCTAAACCCTACACCCTAAACCCTTAAACCCTACACCCCCAAACCCTAAACCCCTAAACCCCTGGCCCCTAAACCCTACACCCTAAACCCTTAAACCCTACACCCCCAAACCCCAAACCCCCAAACCCCCTCAAGGGTCACCTCAGAGCCGAAGGCTGCAAGCGCCGGGCTTCGCGCAAGCGAAAGGTGCCCAGCAGGGCTCTCCTGTCGGCTCATGGGGGCTTTTCGGGGAGCTTTTGGGGGTTCTTTAAAAAGGGCTCCTTAAAGGGCTCCTTAAAGGGATCCTTAAAGGGATCTACGGGGTTTGGGGGGTTTAGGGTTTAGGGCTTTGGTGTTTAGGGTTAGGGGTTAGGAGTTGAAGGTGTAGGGTTTAAGGGTTAAGGGTTTAGGGGTTTAGGGGTTTGGGGTTTTGGGGTTAGGGTTCCTAAACCGAAATTCTATGTCCTTAGAAAGGTTGGATTTTTTGGGCGGCAGGTGTTTCCTAAATCATGTTCCGGACCTCTGCAGTTCAGAAACACTGTTGACATGTCTGCGTTGCGGGTTGCCCAGAGCCTCCAAACCCTTTAATTAAGGAATATACCTTAAATTATAATAGGATCCCTAATATGATTTAAGGAATATTCCTTAATTAAGGGGTTTTGGAGGCTGTGGGTGAATGCTTCGAAACTCAATGATGTGTGGTTGATGAAAGGATCCCTGCTATAATCCTCACCTCTCAGGAGTCGTTGGGCTCTTTTCCTCAATAGCCTGGCCCTCAAAAAGCCTCGTCGGAAAAGTGGGGGCCAAATATGACTTTACTATAACCCAAACAGTCCGGAACCCTAAACCCTGTGGGTGGTCCGGGAACGACGTCGAATCGAAGTTCCCCATCAGGGTTGCAAGGCGCCACATCCTCCGAGGATTTAGTGCTCTGGGCTTTGGGTTGCAGAGGTGTGGGGTTTAGGGTTGTGGGATTGCAGGGCTTGCTTTTTTAAGGGTTAGGGGTTGTAGGGTTTTGGGTCTTGGGGTTTAGGGTGTGGCGCCCCAGGGCTTGCAACTTAAACACAGGTTGGATTTATGGCTTCAATTCGGTGTGGGTTTAAGCTCGGGTTTAGGGCTTCGAGTTCGGGGTTAAGAATGTTCGAGGGCGTATTTATGGTTTTCGGGTTTACGGTTAGGGTTACCTTAATGTAGGAGCCTGATTAAGAAACCCTGGGCCTATAACCCCAAAATAGTCGGGTTCATATTATAAGGAACCCTAATAAAGGCCCAAGGTTTCTTAATCAGGTTCCTACCCTAGACCTTACACGCAAAACCTGGAATGCCCTAGCCCCGGCACCGCAGCGACCCTGAATCCGAAATGAGCCCAAGCCCCAGGCCCTGAACACAGAGGATAATTACTCTGAATATCCTACACAAGCCCCGAACCCTTAAGCCCCAAGCAATTTCCAAACCCTAAAAACCCTGGACGGCAAAGGCAACCCTAAACCCTAAACCCCTAAACCCTAATCCCGTAAACCCTAAACCTGGGTTAGTGGTAGCTCCACTTGGCGCCTCTTCTATGAGCATCTTGACATCAATCTCGCGAAGGTCTGCGCCAGGCTCGGAAGAGGAACCTCCCGAGCATTTACATGGGTGGCTGTCAAAATTATGGTTCCTTTTTGGGTCCCTACTTTAGTACGGCACCTAATGATAGGGTACCCAAAAAGGGACCCTAATTTTGACAACCACCCACATAGGGATTTGAGGTGTGTTTCACTGGGTGTGGCCCTAACTTAGAAGGCAAGCAACACTTAGACTAGACTTTGTGGAGAAACCCGAAAACCCGCCCAACTCTGAAGTTCAAAACCCCCAGGATCCGGCTCCAAGGAACCTCCTCAACACTGCCAGGTGCCTCCGAATGTAGGAACCTCATTTTAAGAAACCCTGGGCCTATAATCCCCACATAATAGGATTTATATAAGGAACCCTAAAATAGGACCAAGGTTTCTTAATCAGGTTCCTACATTAGCTAGGGCCCTGGCTTCTCCAATGTCCTTTTAGTTTGAGGGCCCGCGAGCTTGAGGGTCTGAAGCCGTACGTAGAACTCCCGAACCCCTAAACCCTAAACACCCTAGACCCTAAACTCTGAGAGAGCCCCAAACTGAATTCGCCGAGTCGGGGTGCTGTCTGAGTCCACTATCAAGGAATTCGCGCTCGGCAGCAACGCGTGGCCCGCTTCGGGAACTGACTCCTGGAGCGTGGCTGTCGGGTTTGTTGGGTGAGTTCGGTATCAGAAAGACTCTAATACTCAGAATAGTGGTCCTGGGGTATACTGGTATACTATATTAGTATTAGATTAGGATTATTCAAGGAAATCTACGGAGTGATATTTGTAATTTCTAATCCCTCGCATTTGGCGTTTGCAGTCGACTTTAGGTCTAGGCAGTTGTGAACCCGCCATGGGGCGGCTTCTTCTATTCAGTATCCTCTTATACTCTATGTTACTCCCTAAACCCTAAGCCCTAAACCCCAAAGCCCAAACCCTAAACCCGAAACCGCTAAACCCTAAACCCTGCTTGGGCCGCTTCGTACTCAAATTCTCGCAGGGACTCGTGACCGAGCCGCACTTCTCTCTTGACGGCAACAGAACTACCTATAGTCTCCATTGTAGTTCCTTGCTTTGGTTAATCAGTTTTATGGCTAGGATCCTATAATAGAGTTTTTGGCTAACCAAAAAAAGGAACTACAATGGAGACTACAGGTTTAAGGCTTAGGGTTTAGGGTTAAGGTTCAGGCACACACATCCTGCACCCACGGGCCCTGCTAGCCCCGAAGGCACGACGGCTTCCTTCTTGCTCGGAAACCCGCTGGTTCTTCTTCACTGCGTGCTCTACAACACTGAAGTCCGCCAACATTTTAGAAACCTAAACAATCCAAAATCCTAAACCATAAATCTTAACACTACACTCCGCAAACCCTAACGCTAAAAGGAGCCTAAGGGGAAACAACCACGAACCGGACCTCCTTCTGAACCTCCGGCAGCTCGCAAGCAGAATCGTGATTCTGCGAGGCAAGCTCCTGGAAGTCATGTAGGCGCCTGAATAATTGGAATAGGGTTTTAGGGGCATGTTGTACTAGAAATATATGAAGAAACCTTCAAAATAGCATTTGCCCCTAAACCCTGAACACTAAACCCTACTTATCTAAGCCCCTATTAAGCCAACATACTTCAAAGTAGAATTGCTACTTAGTTAAGCCCCTAAACCCTAAACCCTAAACCCTAAAAGCCCCTATTAAGCCAAGGAGAGGCGCGGCTTGGATCTTCGAGCTTTGGGTTCCCTCAGGGCTTCGGGACTTCAGTGCTCCTGGGTCTTGAGGGTTTACCTGTGGCCCAAAAGACCTTCCTCTTTAAGGAACCTATAATAGAATCCCTTTTTAAGGAACCTATAGTAGAATTTCTAATAAGGAACCCTAGGCCTTTTCGGCTACAGGTAGGGCCTATAGGTGGGGTTTTGGGTGGAGTTCAGGGCTTTGGGCTGCTTTCAGGGTTTGGGGGGGGTGTTAATTCAAGTATTTTCGGTTTTTGAGGGTGCTATGATGAGGATTAGTTTGGGGTATATCATGGTATAGTACAGCACGACCATGGTATAGTACAGTACAACCCAAGGGATTTCTTCCTACCGAACCCTAAACCCTAAGCCCTAAACGCTTCCTACCCCTGTATCATAACACATCCATCAAGTCCTCCTCGTCGGCTGCTGCAGTCACTGCCGGAGGATCGGCTTCCTTCCATTTTCGTATGCTGGGGCCAGGACTTGGGGATCGGAACGTTCCGGTTGAGGTTGAGGGTTTGGGGCTTAGGCTTCAGGGTTCAGGGTTAAGGGCCCCGGCTGTGAATAAGAAATGACAGGCTCCATCGGCAGCCCTCAGCACTTCAAGCAGAAGCCCTCAGCCGCTTTGAAGCTTACAGCTTACGTCCTAAACCTGCAAGCCCGGCCCCTGCACCCCAAACCTGAACCCATCATCCGCACCACTGCCTAATAGAGGTGTCGGATACCTGGTAACAGAACGCCCCTAACTGTCCCTGTGTCAAGACTGTGATATACCCTTCAAACCCCAACCACCTCCTTCAACCCTAAACTTACCTTTGGTTAGTATGGAATGGAAGAATGGTAGTAATAGTAGTTATATATATGGGAGTTTCCGAAAATTAGGGGTACCTTATTTGGGGGTCCTTATAATAAGGGTCCTACTATTTAGGGTACCGTATTAGGGTCCCCTATTTTCGGAAACCCCATATACCCAATTCCTCCATTCCCAACTAACCAAAGGTAAGTAAACCCTAGTCACCTAGCCAAAGTACGAAGGCCCTCGACCCCGAACTCCAAGAGACCCTACAGTAGAAGCCAGAAAGTTGGAATATGATTATCCTAAACCCTTCTATGGTAAATTATAGGGGATCCTACCCTGAAACCATATTCCAACTTTCTGGAGTACCCTTTAAGTGCGTCAAAGTAAGGCTCCTTGATCTACGTGGAGGTTCATGGGTGGGTATAAGTGGGGTCATAAGTTCCCCTAATATGGGCTATAACTATAGCTACTCTACCTATAACCCTACTTAGAACTACCAATGAACCTCTAAGCATAAGAGTTCTGTTCATTATTCTGTTGCTTGCGGTTGCTCCTATTCAAAACGATTTCGAGTTTGGGGTTTGGGGGTTTAAGGTTTAGAGGTTTAGGGTTTAGGGCTTCTAGTTCATTGTTGGGATAGGAGTAAACATGTACATTTGTATTCCTTCTTGGGTTTAAGTACCCATCAAAATTTAAAATGTTACCCAACTATCACAAAGGCTTAGGGTGGTGTGGGACTTCGTAAACCCAGCCTCCTCTGCAGACTGGGCCATCGCAGTGCTCGGCGCGTGCAGGGAAGGCTCTTCCTAGAGAGGGCTCAGGGTTTAGAGGGTTCTTTGGGTACGGCCCCCACTCAGTAATAGTTGAATAATATTCATAATACAGATATAGTAGGACCTCAATAGTAGCCCTATTATAGACTCTTACTGTATGGGGGCCGTACCTAAAGGGTTCTCCTAATGTAATTTAAGGTCTGGGACACAAGGGCTCCGGGATTAACGGATTCTGGTTTTTGGTTTTAGGGTTTAGGGCTTTGCAGGGCCTTGGTTGAGGGTTCTCGTAAGGTTTCAGAAGGGACTGTCCTGGGGCCTGCGTTTTTGCACACCCAGTGCTCCGCACTTTTTGCACTACTTGTTCGGCACTTGTCGTTCAGGGTTGTATGGTTTACAGTATAAGCCAGAAAGTTGGAACATGGCTTTAGGAGGATTAGTGCTAGGATCCCTTATACTTTACCTTAAGGGCAGGAGGTTAATGATGTTCCAACTTTCTGGCTACTACTGTAGGGTTTGGGACACAAGGGCTCCGGTATGAACGGATTTTGGTTTTAGGGTTTCGGGTTTAGGGTCTGCGAAGGGTTCGATGAAGGTTCCAAGAGGGTTCTTCTCAACCCTTAACCCGAAACCCTCAACCCTAAATCCTCAATGCTGAACCCTAAACCCCCAACGCGAAGCCACGCGGCCCAGCCTATACCGGTCTAAGTAAGCTTTAAAACCCCTTGAGCACAACACATCTCTGAGGAGCAGAGAACGCTAAACCCTAACACTCCTGAACCCTGAAACCCTAAAACCGAAAACTACTAACCTCTTTGTCTTCTAAAAGTTGAAATATGGGAGTTTCCGAAAATTAGGGGTACCGTATTTGGGGGTCCTTACAATAAGGATCCTGCTAAAGAAGCTGCTATATCAGAGTCCCCTTTTGTTTCAAACCCCCAAAATATGTCCTTCTAACCACTAAACCCTTGAGCTCTACAGTAAACCCCATAAAGTTGGAAACCGGCTGAAGGCCAAATACTGCTGGGATTCCCTATACATTGCTCTTAGGGATTGAGGCTACGGGGTTTCCAACTTTTGGGCTTCTACTGTACACTCACCCAAGAGCCCTTAATCCTAAACCCAAAAGCCCTAAACTTAGGCCCTAAACCCTAAACCCTTGAGCTCTAAACCCCTAAACCCCTAAACCCTAAACCCTTGAGCTCTACACTTTCGACCGCTATCGGCGGTGCCTGGGCCGGTCTTTCAGGAACGCGTTCCTTTGCCACGGCTCGCCGGTCCCTCTGCACCCCGAGCCTGGGTTCTGCATACTTTAGGGGTTTAGGGGTTTTTGGGATTTAGGGATTTGGGCTTTATATGTGCCAGCATCCGCGCCCCCCCCCCCCCCCCTCCCCCCCCCATGGTAATCCCCCTCCCCCCCCCTGTGGTTCCTGTGGTTCCCCCCCCCCCTGTGGTTCCTCTTGGTTTTCCCCCTCCCTTTTGTGGTTCTTCTGGTTCCTGTCTCCCCCCTCCCCCCCTGTGGTTCCTGTGGTTCCTCCGCGTGGTTGCTGCTGCTTTGTTGTTGCTGCTGTTCTTCTTCTTGTTCTTGTTCTTGTTCTTGTTGTGTGGTCGCCCGGGTCGGGGGGGGGGGTTACCATTGGGGGGGGGGGGGGGGGGGGGGGGGGGGGGGGGGGGGGGGGGGGGGGGGGGGGGTCGAGAACGCGGAGCGCGGGCACATATATAGGGGTTCTGCAGACTTTAGGGGTTTAGGGCTTTAGGGGTTTAGGGATTTAGGGGTTGAGGCATTTAGGGCTTAGGGGTTTAGGCTTTAGGTGCTGATCAGGGTTTAGGGTCAAGTCAGGAACTTAACACAAGTTATCGTCTCTTCAGGGTGTGATAGGGTGTGAATGTTCAGGACCAGGATTCCGAAGCCTAATGCCAACAAGTTTCTCATCAGGGTTCGTGAGTTTCATTTGTCATGTTGGCCAAATATTCAATATTCCTGATAGGTGAACTCTAAGTTACTGAACCAAGCCCAGAAGCAGCAATGTCGTCCCTTCTCGCCTCCTTCCCTCCAGATCACGGATGCCTTTGCGAGTTAGCAGATTGTACTGCAAGTCCAACTTGTACCTGGGTTGGAAGGTTGAGGGCGTGGGGTTAGGGTTTACGACTTCCCAAAGCTGACTCATGAGTAAGCACGCCACAAACCATGAGGGAAGAAAACATAAATCCTAGACCCCAGACTCCCCCAGACACGAACACCTAAAGCCCGAGAACCCTGGAACTTGCAACCCTAAAACCCGGGAAAGGAATCCCAGATTCAGATTCCCGCCCGGGCGCAGCTTAATGGTGCCTTCCTTGCGCCAGCGAGTTAGCACGGCAGCCTCAACCGTGTCCAGAACGGCAGCCGAAGAGCATCTCCTCAACTTCTTAGGGCGTAGGATGTCTAGGTTTAATGGAGGAACCTGATTAAGAAGCCTTGGGTTTTTATTCGGGCCACTTACATGAATCCTGCTACTTTGGGGTTATAGGGCCTAAAATTTCTTAACCAGGTTCCTACATTAGGGGTTTAGGGTTTGGGGGTTTAGTATGTTTTGAGCACCGTTTGCCGTCAGCCATGAGCGAGCTCTCGGGCTTAGGATTGAGGGCGCAGGGCTAAAGGGTTCAGGGTTGTGTTTCTTTTGAGTGCAGTGGCTCCCCAGAAACTCCAATATCCCTTAATTAAGGAATATTCCTTAAATCATAATAGGATCCCTAATATGATTTAAGAAATATTCCTTAATTAAGGGATATTGGAGTCTCTGGGTCTTTCTCCGCGCGCACACTGTCAGGGCTTGCCCTGTGGCGGCATGCACCACACAGCAACCTTTCACTCTGGTTTACTGTCATTACCAGACGAAGAATTGTGGGTGTGAGGGTTTCAGTAGAAACAGATCTCCCGACCCTAAAACCCGTAATCCCTGAATACCCCAATCCCTGAACACTGAGCCCCTGACAACCCTACACTTTACACCCCTAAACACGAACCTTGCTGAAGACGGGGAGGTCCCCTAGGCGGGAAAAAGTGCAAACAGGTAAATCAATTCATCAGACTCAGAATTCTGTGTGGCCCGGTCGCCAAGGTAATTACCCTTTCTGGGGCTGGTCAATTTTCTGAAGCAGCTCAAAACAAAAAAACAAAATGGTACCACTGGGCTACCGACCAACGCAAAACTCATCCAAGTCTCGAAGCGGGCAGCCCTTTGCTGTGCAACGCAATCCAGGCTTGGAACAAGGCTCCAGCGCTGGCATCTTGGATGAAGTTGCCTTTCAGAACGAGCTCCTGCCAAGCATGCGCCAGCGGGAATGCATTTCTTGTGCTCCGGTAGACGTGATGGTTCATGGGTCATGTCATCGTCACAAGCACTGTAACCCCAAGCCCAAAGCCCGGAACGTCAGACCCTATCCGTCGCAGAAGCACAGCTGTCGACGTCCCAACCCCCAAATCCGAGACACGAGCTCAAAATGGTCATCCCTCCCTCCCTCCCTCCCCTCCCTCCCTCCCTCGCTCGCTCGCTCGCTCGCTCGCTCGCTCTCTCTCTCTCTCTCGCTCTCTCTCTCTCTCTCTCTCGCTCTCTCTCTCTCTCTCTCTCTCTCTCTCTCTCTCTCTCTCTCTCTCTCTCTCTCTCTCTCTCTCGCTCTCTCTCTCTCTCTCTCTCTCTCTCTCTCCATCTGTCTTTCTGTCCTTCAGCCGCGGCTTGCAGCCCAGGGCTCGGGTCAAACTGCCGGCTCCTGCGAAGAGTCTTGGGCTTAAGTAACTTAGTTGCTGAGTTCATAAGCCCCAAAATAAGCCCCACAGTTAGGGTTTAGGGTTTAGGGTTTTAGTTGCTGAGTTCATAAGCCCCAAAATAAGCCCCACAGTTAGGGTTTAGGGTTTTAGTTGCTGAGTTCATAAGCCCCAAAATAAGCCCCACAGTTAGGGTTTAGGGTTTAGGGTTTTAGTTGCTGAGTTCATAAGCCCTCAACAAGTGCACACTTTTGGTTTTAGAGTGGGTAATCGTATCCCCAAAAGTTCAATGGTGTAACGTGTATCCACTCAGATACTAAAATAAGGCTCAGGAGTCAGGGTCCTTCTTCGGTTTGCGGCTTATAGGTTTAGGGTTGAGGGTTTAGGGTTCAGGGTTTGGGGTTTGGGGCTTAGGGTTCAGCGTTTGGGGTGAGATGGGGAAGAGGCACGGGGATTAGGAACCGGGTTCAGGGTGTTGTTGTTGTGAGGAAAGTGTTGGGGGTTGGGGGCTGAGGGCCTACGGTTCGGGGAGTTGCTGCTTCAGGGTTTCTACAGCTGCCAGGCGGGATCAACAAGTCTAGGAGTCTAGGGTTTAGGGCTTAGGATCTACTCACTGAACAGCACAAGCGAGTGGACAACGCTCCTGTCGGAACGCGAACTTTCTGTAACTCTTTTCAGATCCGGCATCAGCGCACCAGCCACTACAGTCGCGCTCCAGCTGCAACTACAACAGCACCATGCAAGGGCACCATGATCGTTCTAGAAACAAGCATTGCCCTTTCCGGAGCAAGTGCACAATGGCTCCCACCATTGAAAATTGAAAAAGGCCTCCGACGTCTTACAAGTCATTGTGAGTTGACTCTGCCAGAGCCTGTCTCTTTCTCTCTCTTGTTCAGACTTTTGGCCCGCTATGCTCCAGCATGCTAGTGCCTGCTAGCACACTGAACATCGCCAACGCCTGGCAAGCAGCAAAATAAAGCAACCCCAAACCCGTAACAAAGCAAAACCTGAGCACCTAGTTAAATCCTAAATCCCACACCCTAAACCCGATCACCCATCAAGGACGAGGCCTGGCAAGCAGCATAAGCTTTCTGACCAAGGTCTGCGATCAGGGATCTCGAGAAGACAGGTCCCCCGAAACGTCCAATGCCGTTCCTCACTGGTCCAAAATTCCGAAGGGGAACTAAAGGTTTAGGGTTGAGGGTTTAGGGAACTAAAGGTTAAACCTTGGCGGTTACATATAAGAATTAAAGCACCCCCAAAAAGGTTAAAGGCTACCTACTGTACTACTGAGCTGCGAAATGAGGCCATTGATGAGCATCACATTGTTGGCGTCCAGGAAGGACCCGTCAGGGAAGACGTTGCTGTTCAGAATGCCCATGTTCAGCGCTCCGGCGAGGTACGTGGTCCTATATTGAACTTCGACTCCCAGAAAGCATGTAAGTTTTGCTGTTTCTAGGGACTATAATTCAGAAAAATGTAACTTTAGCTGGTTCTTTTCGGATTATAGGAACCAAAGAGTTAAAGACATTTCTAAGCACCCCTAAGGGTCGGGAAGATGATCGAGTCGGCGGCGAGAATTGTCTGGGGATGAGTCGCAGCGCCTCGACATAATATGGGAGTTTCCGAAAGTAGGGGTGCCTTCTTTTGGGGTCCTTATAATAACGATACTACTATTTGGGGCACTTTATCCCGAAACCCTAAACCCTAAACCCTGAACCCTATCCCTAGGCTCCCAAACTTTCGGAAACTCCCATATCGGCGTGAATGCTGCGGGACCCCGAAGTTCCCTGCAACCCGCAAGGTGCATTATAAGTTCTGACTACAGGGTTCAGGGTTTAGGGATGTTTAGGGCTTAGGGTTTAGGGTTTAGGGTTCAGGGTTTAGGGATGTTTAGGGCTGAGGGGATACATTCTAAGGACTCCCAGGCTATAAAGGGAATGCTTCTACTAATTCTTCCGACCCCAAGAAATATCAGAAAGTCGAGGTCCCCGCCTAGCAGGACGGTAGCCACGATGCCGAGAGTCGTGTAGAGCTTCATCAGCAACAGGTCTCTGACCACTTCATGGTACTGCCGGTGCAAAATATAGACGGGCACGACCAGGCAAAACGTCACCCCGATGCAGAAGCCGATACTGTCATGGCCCCACTCGAACTTCTCCTGCAGAGACACGAACTGCTAGTAAGCCAAAACCCCAACACCCCAAAACCAAGACCCCTCGAGACCCCTTAACAGGCTCGTTCCCAAACTCTCTCCTGCAGAAGCAGACACGTCGCTGACTCGACGCCCGAAACGATGAAGGCTCTAAGAGCGTCCATGACAAGGCCTGGGAACATTCTGTTTACTTTTCTACCCAGAGACTCCAACATCCCTTAATTAAGGAATATTCCATAAATCATATTAGGGATCCTATTATAATATAAGGTATATTCCTTAATTAAGGGATATTGGAGTCTCTGGGTAATCCAGTGGTCTTAGGATTTACGGTTTCGGTTTTGGCGGCCTTGCTGACTCGGATAGGGTTTGGGGGTATGGACTAGTAACTGGTAACTAGTCTAGTTCTAGTGCACTTATGTTAGAGCCGATACGCGCGCACGAAGCTTTGCCGTGGAAGAGCGAAGGCAGCGAAGTGTTAAACCCTGGCACTAAACCCGAAACCGGCAACACCCAAATCCTCGCAAACCCTAAATCCCAAAAGCATAAACCTCTAGACTCTCAGCTCAACCCCCTAAAACCGTCACTTCTAAACCCCACGACATGCATAGCAAACCCAGGTCCACCCCAAAACCTCGATTGAACCCCAAACCCTGTGGAGACCCCGAGCTCTTCGCAAACCCCTGAACCCTGTATCCTAAAAACTTCCAACCTTGCTCGCCGGTGGGTAGTTCTCCAAATTAGGATCCCTTTGCGAGTCCCTTGCATAAGGGGTTTCGGGTGTAGGGTTTAGGGTTTAGGGCTTAGGGTTTAGGATTGAAAAAGGTCCCGTATTTTCAAGAACTACCCGATGAACCCCTACACCCTAAACCCCAAGCCCCAAACCTCCACCGCTGAACCCTTACCTGTGGCCTGCAACCAAGCGGCTCACGACAAGCACCGATGCTTGGTGACCTCGAGCCGCGACTGCCTTGCTAGAATCGGTCGCCGCCACCTGGACTTCAGGGTACCGGGCTTTGGGGTTTAGGCTTTAGGGGGTGAGGGTTTAGGTTTAGGGTTTAGGGTTCAGGGCTTTGGGGTTTAGGCTTCAGGGGGTTAGGGGGTGATGGTTTAGGGTTTGCGGTTGAGAGCTTAGGGTCAACGAGCTCTGCAAGCGACATGTCTACACCAAAGTTCCACAAGACAAAACGAGATCGAAAGAAGCATTGCAGCGGATCTGAGAATGCTGCCCTAGGGCCCCCAAAACGGCACATAAGCAAAATAAGGATATGCATATCCCATATAAGCCCTCCTATAATGAAGCCCAATAAGGTATGGATATCCTTCTAAAATGCTAATGCTTATGTCCTTTTGCATCCCCAATGTCCTTCATCGTGGGGTAGAGCTGCGCAGTGGCCGCTAGAACGGCGGAAGTTGTCCAGAATTGCAAGCTTGCAGTGATGATGCTGATTTGCGATCCTTTGGCAACCTCCTGCCTGGGTTCTTGTTACGGGATTTCATTTAGGTTACCGTATTCGGGATCTTTTGTGAAGTGTCGTAACTTGAATTAACACCTTTAATAAGAACCCAGCTGCTCTTCATGCGGGCTCTGGAAGAAGGAGAACACCAGGGCGACCAGAATGGGGCCAGAACCGATCCCAACTGTATTTGCCACGAACTTGTTCAAGGAATGCATGGGCCGGTCGGGGATTGGAGAAAGTTTTACGATGCAGCATTTCATGACCTGGGTTGTTCAGGGTTTCGGGTTCGGGGTTGGTTTGAAGGTGCTTGACATGAGGCCAACCATAATGAGGATACCCAGTGATTTGCTGCATACTTACAGCTTGGGTAAACTCTAAGCCCTAGACCCCAAACCCTAAACTGTGGCCCTAAACTAAACCCTACCTAAACCCTCACCCAAAATCCTACACCCCAAACCCTCAACAAACAACCTAAAAGGCCTGGTCATTCATTCCATGCCCAAAGCCCTGGAGGACCCGGGCGGCCATCAAGAAGTACATCCAGCCTGAGGTTTCAGGTTCAAGGCTTCCAGCTTCGGGATAAAAGGCTTAGGGTTGAGGGTTTAAGGCTTAGGGTTTAGGGTTTAGGGCTTAGGGTTTAGGGTTTAGGGCTTAGGGGCTTAGGGTTTAGGGCTTAGGGTTTAGGGAGATAAGATCCTCTTAAGCCCAACGTAAAGTACCAAACATCCCAAAGGCCCTCCCTAGCAGCTGTTGTCATCTGTATCTCGTCCATCCAATGCTACCTTCACGAAGCCAAGCGCTCCCAAAAGTTGGCAAGAGAGTCCGCCCAACAGGAAATGCTTGACACCACCATTCTGCCAGGAATCTGGAAACATGTTTAAGATCTTCCAACAGACAGCGGTACCAACAGCGCTTGCAGTCATGTAGACTCCGATGTAGAAGCCAGACATTGAAGCGGCGTCCGTGGTTCCCAATGTCATGCAAAGGGGGTATGCACAGAGAATCCTCGAAGCTAAAGGACCCCCGCACAAGCTTGCACGGCTGCAAACAACTGTCTCTATCCCAGACCCCCGGGAGGATTTAGAAAGTCGATCCCCTAATTTGGGGCCCTATACTGCTAAGGGTACTTTATAGGAACCCCCATTAAGGGATCTACTTGTTGGATCCTCCCGGGGGTTCTGGGATACAGGTTTCTGAAGAGTCCAAGCGACACCGAGCTGTAGTTGATAAATCCTTGAACGCAAATCATCAAGTTCACCTTGGCAGTTCGGGGGTGTTTAAGCTTCGCGACAGCCAAGCCTAACCCTCAACATCCCACCCTCCCTAAGCCCTAAGCCCTAAGCCCTATACCCTAAACCCTACACCCTAAACCCTAAACCCTAAATCCTAAACCCTAAACCTTACACCCTACACCCTAAACCTCAGACCCTCAACCCAAAACCTAGACCCTCAAACCGAAACCCGCAACCCTACCAAACCCTACACCCTGGATCCTAGGGCCAATGCCTGGTGTCCCAGAGACTCCCCAACCCCTTCCCCAAAAAAGATATCACAGAAGCCTTCAGTATATTATATTACACGGTTTAGGGTTTAGGATATTATGCTGTAGTGATAAAGGAAGTTAAGGGTAGTACTATAAATACGTATTCATGCCCCTATGTTGCCTTGGCTCATACATAATGGGGTCCTGGGCGTGATAGATGGTATGTATTGTGTAACTCGTAAGGTCCATGGAACAGCACTGAAAGCGAAACCATAAACCCTACACCCTGCAGGCCCTAAGAACGCTGGGGGCTCTAGCAAAAACTGAGGATCTTGCATAGAGGGCGAAGCTCGCAGCGCACGTCCGCTCGCGCCACTTCGAGGCCAGTGCGATGAGCCCGAGCACCACTGCCACAGCGAAGACCGTGAAGAAAGGGACGGCCGAAAGCAGAGACGGTTTGTGAGACTGCTTCACATGGTCCCCCTGCTGGGGATGATGAGTAGCGAATCCATAGGAGACCGTGGGAGCAGGAGTGGATGGAGTGGATGACGTCCAAGCCTCTCGGGAAACGAACACCACAAACTGTTCTGGCAATACAGACACTAGGCACCGCCTTTCTCTCTCTCTCTCTCTCCCTTTGTCTCTCTCTCTCTCTCTCTCTCTCTCTCTCTCTCTTTCTCTGGCTCTCTCTCTGAAGCCCTAAACCCTAGAAGACTTTGGTCATGTCTGGCCTGCCGGCCAGGTGCTTCTGAATCTCGGGCGAGAAGCGTGAGCAACGGAGCCACGAAGAAGGGAGGCTTCATGGCAAAAGTAGTCTCATGGCAAAAGTAGTCTCATGTAGGAAAAAGTGACTTTCACTAAGCAGGTCTCGACGAGAAAATGCAGATGGAGCAGGCGAGCAGCATGTGGGTAGTTCTCTGAATTACGGCCCGTCCTTCGGAACCCCAAAGGAGGCGGCACCCTTACAAAAAGGACCCCTCAAAGGGACCCCAACTTAGAGTACCCATGTTGAAGAACATGGCACGCAAAAACACTCCACAGCGACCTTCAGGCCCACGGAAATTAAGTTGTGCACGCCCCTAGCCTTTTAGGGTTTAGGGTTCTTAAAGCGCTGGTCTACGGCTAAGACTAGGACTAAGACGACTACCAACACTAGTACGAATACGAATACTGATACTGATCATAACAAGGATAACAAGAAGAATACCAAGAGCAATAGGCTCTGTAATCGTCTTAACAAGAAAGATCGAAATATTGATAGCAACAGTGATACTAATTCAAGCAATGATAGGAATAATGCTTCATAATAACAATACTAGTAATCAGAGTCAGAAGAATTAGCACAAGCAGTAAGAAGCAGAAGCAGAAGCAGAAGAAAGAGCGCCTTGCTCTGGGTTTTGCAGTAGCCAGGGAGTCAAAGGGGAAAAGGAGGGACCCTTAATTTAGGGCTCTTAGGGCTCGTTTAAAGGGATCTATAAGGGTTTTGGGTTTAGTAGGGAAAAGGGAGGGACCTTTAATGGGGACCCCTACCCTATAATGGGCTATATAATAGGTATACGGCTATATTAAGGGTATATTACCTAGGGGTCCTCAATAAGGGTCCCTCCTTCTACCCTTGGAGGGAAAAAAGGTACAGACTATTATTTCGTAAAGGCTCGCTGGGCTCCCTGCAAACAACAGGTCCAAAAAAAACATAAAAGTATCCCAGAGGCTCCAAATATATAGTACCATTATGGAATTAGGTCCCCAAAGCCATGATATGGATGGTCTTTTGGGACCTAATTCCATAATGGTACTATATTTGGAGCCATTAGGTATGGTACTCCAAAGACCAGCTTAGGGCTTTTACTGTGGGGGGCCTAAATCATAACGACAATAGCTCGGATGCGTCTGTGGACTCTGCGATCCGCCGAGAAAAAAAAAAGGAAAAGAGCATGACAAGCAAGAAGAGGCATCTTGATCCTCCATCACCAATGAGGTTCTGGCTTAGGTCCAAGCTGATCCATGGGCAGGAAGGGCACAGCGCCTTGTTTCAGGGACTTCTAGGGTTTAAGCCTAGGGTAGAAGGGACTGCTGGGGCTTCAGGGACTCATAGGGTTTACAGGGAACTCCAGAAAGTTGGAATATGGTTTCATGGTAGGATACCCTATAATTTACCATAGAAGGGTTAGGATAATCATATTCCAACTTTCTGGCTTTTGCCTTAGGGTTTAAGGGACTCATAGAGTTTATAGGGTAAAGGCGTCACGGGCTGTTTCGGAGCTGCGCAGGAGGCTTTTAAGGGCTTCGGAATGTGAGGTTTGCAAGCCGTAAGACTTCAAGGAGTTGGGTTTAACTAGGGTTTTTGCGGGAGGGTTTAGGCATCGAGCTTCAGTGGTCTGAGGATGAATACATCCGTCTCTGCACGCTTAGGAGACCTCGTATCGGACCCTTAGGGCCAGAACGAGATCTGTCCGTGAGGCTGGGGTTGAGGGTTTAGGGCTGTGGGGCTGGAGATTTTGAAATTGAGCTTGAAGTGAAATGGGTGGTTGTCAATATTAGGGTCCCTTTTTGGGTCCTTGTTACAATACGGCACCTAATATTTAGGATACCCAAATGGAACCATCATTTTGACAACCACCCAAATCGAAACTTGGTGGTGAACTGTGAGGAGCCGGGTACTTTCCAGCCGTGACGGTCTTAAGCTTCACTCAGACCGCCAGTTCAGAGGGGTTGCTGGGGCCCAGAGACTCCAAAACCCCTCAATTAAGGAATCTACCTTAAATTACAATAGGAGACCTAATATGATTTAAGGTATATTCCTTAATTAAGAGGTTTTGGAGGCTCTTGGGGGTTTCCGGAAACCCAAGGGGGGTGGGTGAATTACATGGTGCTGCCACTCAGGATGTGGGGTTAATGTTAAAGTAAGAACAGGGTTTCGGTGCATGTAGTGAAGCATAATCGTCAAAAGGAGCCCTAAGGCAGCGTGTTGGTAAGTGATTCGGCTTCTTTGTGTGGGTGTAGGATGATAAGTGGGTTTGGGCCTCCAGGCAGGCTCAAGGGAACCCAATTCGGACACTCTTAGCCCCAAACATAACCAACTTTATTCAGAGTATAGAGCGTTGACTGCCACCTTGCACCCCAAACACAATCCCCTAAACCCTAAACCCTAAACCCTAAACCCTAAACCCTAAACCCTGAACTCTTGCGGCTTTGGGTCAAGGCCCTGAACCCTGCACCGTTAGGGGGCCTCGGTCAGAGATGGCATGTCGGCATCGGTAATGCCGCAGTCGTGCAGCACCACTTTGCGGAGAGACTGGATCCTGGCTGGGGCTTCAAGTTTCGTAAACCCTAAACCCTAAACCCTAAAACCTAGGGCTTAGGGCGTTTCGAAACCTCAGGGTTGTCCGCAGCACATTACGATTGCGAGGACTTAAGTGTACGTGGCGGCTCTGGGAAAAGGCAACAAAGCAAAAGCAACGTCCCGAAGCGAACTGCCAAGCCTGCCGAAAGCACGGAAAATAGCCGACCACAACATCCTTAACCCAACCCATAGCCCGGCATTTGACCCAACACCCTAAGCTAAAGCCCTAAACGGTTTAGGATTTAGGGTTTAGGGTTTAGGGTACTAAAGCCCTAAACCCCAACCCTCCTCGGAACAATGGAGATTTCAGCTCAGCAGCCATGTTAGGCGCAAAGCAAACCCTGGGGCGCCGATGCTGCACCTTGCAACGTGAAGGAGTCCACACAGCGGTCTAGAGTTTAGGGTCTAGGGTTCTAGGGTTTAGGGTCTAAGGTTTTTAGGGTTTAGGGTTTTAGGGGTTTAGGGTTGAGGCTTTCGGGTTGAGGGAGTGTAGCAATAGCACATCATCACCATCAGCATGACTGTCATCATCAGGACATATGTTCGCACAACGTTTTAGCAAAGTCTAGCTGAAGTCCGAAATGGCTCTCTGAGCTGCTCCTAGAAAACCCTCGCTCGTGAACTTCTTGCAGTCCGGACAGCGAGCCTAGATCAGAACATGAAGGCATTCACCCCAAAATTGCAGAAGGCCGCAATAATCATCATATAGGATAACCATCATCATCATCATGATACTGGCAAGCTATAGTCATAGTGATCTTAAGAAGCGCCAATACGCTTCGCGCGATTTTATGTCACACTAGAATTTAAGGCATGCGCCTTCTCTTAGGAGTCAATACAACGCCTTGAACACTAAATCAAGCTTCGGTTCCACCTTTGTTTAGTAGGGAATGGAAGAATGGTAGTAATAGTAGTTATATGTATACCCCATTTCTCCATTCCCTACTAACCAAAGGTAAGTTCCAACACTGTGTGAAAGCCGCCAAAGTCCTTGTTCAAGTTGTCTTCTAAACCCTGCAGACCCTAACTTACTAAACCCGAAACCCTAGACCCTAAATCTCTAAACCCTAAACCCTAAATCCTAAATCACAAGACCTCAGAAACCTATATTGAACTTAGAACCCTAGCAAAAATTACAATTTGAGCTGTTTCTTAGGGATTAGAATAAACAAAAATTAATCGTTATTTCTAAGTGCCCCTAAAAAAACCTAAGTCGGAAAAAAAAAGCGGCACCTCGAAAGCTCCAGCTGCTCAAGGGCTTGGAAAGGCTGCAAAGCGTCGGCTAGGATGTCAACTTCCCCCTGCCCGGAATAGCATCTGGGGTTTAGGGCTTATAGGGTTTGGGGGTTTAGTTAGGGTTTAGGGTTTAGGGCTTATAAGGTTTGGGGTTTAGGGCTTAGGGTTTGGGGTTTAGGGCTTAGGGTTTAGGGCTTTGGGTTTAGGGTTTAGGGCTTATAAGGTTTAGGGCTTTTGTGGTTGTAGGTGTAGGGTTAAGGGCTTTGTTGTTTTGGGCTTAGTTAGGGTTTAGGGTTTAGGGCTCGGGGTTTGGGGCTTAGGGTTTAGGGTAGGGCTTCGTGCTTACGGCTTCCATGACCACGGGCAGGGCTATTCTGAGAGTCGGGGCCGGGTCGTACATTGTACTTGAGGGATCATGGGACTTAGTAACTGGGGTAACTAGGGTGATAATTGAGGTAACCATGCTTATAACTCCTTATAACCCCCTTGGGCTCCCTGATACAATCACAGCACGCTTAAGGGTGTACTTGGAGGATCAAGGGACTTAGTAAGTTAGGTTATAAGTACCTGAGTTGGGGTTGCAAGTAAGTATAAGTATAGTTACCTTAGTTATAATGTAACTAAATCCCATGACCCTTCCAAGTAGACCCTAATCCCTGAACCCTATAGATCCCTTTAAGGAACCCTATAGATCCCTTTAAAGGAGCCCTTTTAAGGAACCCTAACTTACTAAGTCCCACGATCCTTCAAGTAGAGCTTGGGGTCCTTTACCCTTTTCGCCTCTGCGTCTGCAGATTTTTGGGGGTTTAAAGCCCTAAGGTTGCGAGATTCAGGGACCCTTGCTTCTTACGAGGCGTTAGGTTAGGCTTCAGGGTTTAGGGAGATGGTTCCTACCTAAGCCCCCACACGTAGGTAAGATAATCGCCCGAAACCTACACAAGGCTATTATTCCACATACTTTTGGGGTCCAGGCAAGTTCAAAGACTCTTGTTAGGCTGTTGTTTTACCTGGTTTCCCACGCGAAACAGGCCCACATCAGATGCGTAAAAACAGAAACAACCATAATCAGGTACTTGATAGTAGTTATGTAGTGTATAGGGTTTTGGAGAATATATGACGATTAGGTACCTGGACCCTTGGGGAAATTTCCAACAGACCCTCCAAGCCTTACAAACCAGCCATACGGCTCATGTCTCAGGATTTAAGGAAGCTAAATCCCTCAGG